GCATTTCGGGGCCTTAACTTATCAGACTGCGACTTGTGTGACAAGTTTCACTTTACTTCTTTCTGAATATTTTTCTGTAGTGTTGCAGCCACACAAGAAAATTTACATTTAATTTATTATTGGTTAAAAAACAAAGCAAAACAAACAAAAAAAACCTTGAGTTTTTTTTTTCAGGATTGAAAAGTGTTTGTTTTCTTGTTTTGTCAACTAAAATGTTAAATGAAAATTCCTAATTGGTGGTTTTACTTTTTATCATAGTTTTGAGTTAAACTTCTCTGGAAATAGGGTTTGATAAAGGCTCAGCATCACCTGCAGCTCACAATATTTGAAAACAATGGAGATAACTCAGGCATGTGATTGTTCAGATAATTGGGATGATGTTCTCATTCTGATGTTTTGCTGATGGCTCTGCCAATACCTCTGTAAACAGAGCACTTTTTGATGATGTTGTAAAATCTTCACCCTAATTGCTTGCAAGCCTGAGTCCCTTTTATCGCAGAACATCACCCATTTCTTATCTGTTTGGAGGAAAAATCACTTTGTGACTCAGCTGAATTGTACAGCTAGCCCATTTAATCAAAATGTGCATCGCTGATTTTGGCGTTTGCTCCATGACGGCCACTTACCCAGCTTGTCAGCCGGCATGGCATCCATCTTCCTCCATATCACTCAATCTGAATATTGCAAATGAAAAGACACCAAAGTGGGTCAGCATTTTGGCACAACTTTAAAAGATGTTTACTGATGCAAAAATACACAGTTTTTCTTTCTGTCCAGGAACAGTTATGTTTACATATAAAAAGATGCAAAATTAGCCAAAATACACAGTAAGGACTTAGAGTGTAGTCACTTAGAGCAGTGACATGCGATGAGGTTCGTGGCTGGTGAGGCAGTGACTCCTCTGGAGTCAGATTTAAAATTGTAAGAACTGAAAAGAGCAGTTTATTTCACTATTCATTCAACAGCATGCACCTGGTACACACCGGCACAAGCATATACGTAGGAATATATTTGTCCTACAAAGAGTGCAGCACAAATTTAATTTTGACCTTCTGTAAAAAATTCAGGTATTTTTCAAACTTTAAATTCTCGTGCTTTAATTAAAGGTTGTCTATCAAAATAATAAGTAAAACATTTTTAGGCCAAACATTTAGTTATCAGACACTTTGTAATAATAATTTTTCTACTTACTCCCATGTTATTTTTTTAAAAACAAAAACTTAAAACCATTTATAGCCTTACCTTTAATTATAGATGAAGTCCATGGTTGTATTTCTTGGTTTTCCCTCCCCTTGCATTGTGAACGCTTATGTTTAGTCGCCGTTGCTCATCCAATGGCAAATTGATCACTGAATTTCCAAAAGTTTTTAAAGAAATCTCGCTGGGTAGCTGATCTTTCATGTCTGCTGAGGCTTCTTTGCATATTTTTCAGGTCACAGTATCCCGAGCTTTCCAGAAGTTAACAGACCTTGAGAATAAAAGGCAAGGAAAGCAGTAAAGACGGTTTCTTTCAGGACAGCCACACAGCCAGTCTTTTCGTTTGTACCACTCAATTTAAAAAGAATGACTCTTCTGCAAGGCAGTTTGAAGCAAATCTTTTAGCTGCGGCGTTGGTTTTCCGTCACTTATCACCTTCTGTTTGGAGCTTTTAGTCTTGAAATACAATCCTTAGTCAGTCGGATCAGGCAGAGCATAAACAACGTTGTTCTTGACCTACTACTGGCTCTAGCTTGGTGCCGACTTTCAATTAGCTGTTGAACCCAGCTGGGAGCACCTGTTAGTTCACGTACGACCCCCTGAGGTGAGGCAGAGTACTGCCTGCCTCCCTACTGACTTTTCTCTGTACTTTATTGTAGGATCAGTAGGAACAATTCTCTCGCGCATATATTATTTTTTTTTAGGCTGGAAAAATATTTTTCATCACGAACATAATAAAAATATTGGAAATAAAAAAAAATTACCGTAATAATACCGCGATATAACGAAACTTTCGCAGAACGGATTTTAAAAAAATCCCCAGTGTACTGAGGGAGCAAAAGGAAAAACCACGATATATAGAGGGAACATTGTATATTCATCAGCACAACACTTGTGATAAAAGGTTGTGCAGAGTCAGAGTCCTTGACAAGAAAACAAGAAATTCACTAAGGTGATAATGTCTGTCCACTGGATATAAGAAGTTGTCAGTTCCCCACATGGTGTGGAGGACACATGGCAGAAAGACAGTTGTAGGTGGGGGTTATGACACAGAGCCCCCAAAGAAATATGGCACTCACTGCCACTGGAAACAGTCCTTGATGAGTGGACCTGAAAGACAGTTGAAAAGGCTTGGACAAAACCAAGCTCCAGGGCTTTCTAGGAACTTTGACACACATGGTAGATAGAATGACTGCCCACAGCAGGCCAGAAGACCATACTGCTGGGCCAGATAAAATTGGCCTCTCGGCTCTGTGGAGTTCTTCGCCTATAACCACAGTAGCATTGAATAACTGCCAACCCTGAAACATTTACCATGAATTAAAAAACTCTTTGCTAAAAACTTGCTTAAAATTATCTTTAAATAAAAATTGTTTGGCTACAGTTAGCTAGTTAGCTTGTGATTTCAGTATGCAGAATTGTCCGTCCCTTGCATAGCTATGGTAAGCTAACTAAGCTAACAGCCGCTGCATCATTTCTTCTTCGTTGCAATGTTGGCAGCTCAGTCTGTGATGATTATTGTTCATTACCTTCGGGTAGATATTTACATTAGAAAGTGTCTTTTCACCAATAACAGAAATAACAAACACCATGTAAACAGTACCATGCAGTAATTTATGCAGTAATCATTCTGTGAAATGCTCAAAATACCTGCAGGGATAGAAATCTATTGTATTTTTTCTCAAAAAATTCTTCCATACTCTAAACAAGGCTTTGTTTTCTCCCATATTGATTTATACACAAAGTGTGAAAACTACATTCCTGGTTTGGAGTAAAATATGTTTTTGTATTCATAACATTGAAAGAACTGTTTGGCAAATTTATATGTGATTTCCTACTGTTTGAGCTCAAGGTCTAAAATCGCCTGAAGTCCCTGTTAGAATAAGTTAAGCCTGTTTTATTACATAAAACAGCCAGTATAGAGTCTGAAATATCTCTCAAGTGAGAATGCATGCATAATGCAGATACAGGGTTTCTTTTTTTTCATATGTCTACATGCTGAGACAAGTGAATAAAAATAATATTTCCTCGTCCTCCTGGGCTTCTGAAGGCCAGAGGAGGATGAGGTCTTGGTGAGATGGATTTTTAGATAATGTTTGTTCAATAACAGCTCTTTATTAACAAGCAAGATGAAATATTAATTTGTTTATACTTCATTAATATTATATTCCAAAGGAAAACTCGGACTGTGAGGGATATTTTTTCTGAGGTAGAAAATCTGTTTTGTTAGGATTTGTTTAAAACTGCTGCCTTGGATCACAGGTCCTTTTGCTTGTTCATGACAACAGTACCTGAAAGAACAGGGTTTTTTACATTGAAATCAGACCAAAAATGTTTTTGTATGTGCATTACACAACATAGCTGAGAACCTAGAGCCAGATAATTACCTCCAATAGGCGACACTGTGACAAAGATTAAAAGAGATTTCAACCTCAGTGCGACTTCCTCGTAAATGAAGACTAATTAATGAAGCTGTCAAGATTCAGAGTCAGGAAAGTCCCCAGTGTGGCATCTTCTGTTTTGCCAGGGTTGTATTTCTTTTCACAGCTGAAGAGATACCACACATTTGTTGGTTTCGATCCCGATGATAAAATATACACTGGCCGGCTCCAAGTGTAAGGTAATCCATTTAGCCTATACACAGAAAGAGGGTCGTATTGTCGTATTGATTAGGCTGTTGATTGTCAGTCAAGGTCGAGATTGGGTCATCCCTCCCTCCCCCGGGTACTTCAATAAAGACCCTGAGTGAAAATCTTTAGCAGCCGTGTCTTCACAGGGAAACGTGTCAGATTGGTAACAAGTGGACAGACAACAGATGCTTGATCAGACAGAGATAGACAACCTGCAGGTTTAGTCGGCAGCAGATAAAATCACTCGGATTTTACGTAAATTATGGCTGTCAAATGGTTGAACTTTTTATCGGATTTTCTAACATTCCCAAATATTTTCATATTGCAAAAAAGAAGGAAAGTCAAAAGCAAGTTGCTATCCGTGTTTCACAACTAATAACTACTTTATTATTTATTTGTAATCCAAACAATGAGATTATTAGATTATTATTACAGAATATCACATTAATCAAAATAAAATTTTATAAATGTAAAAACACCAACACAGAGCAGGTTAATGAAACACTACCCTGTAGGTGTTATCTTCCTTTGAATTTATTGCATATTCAAGTCGGAATAAAAAGAGAACTGCACAAAGAGCCATTTTCTAATTATTGCTTTTCTTACATGAATGTCCTTCAGGTATCCTTTTTCATCCTTTAAAAAAAATATAAAGCAGAGGTTTTTGTGAAGGCAGACGGTTCATGAATGGCTTTAAAAAGGCCAGTCTCGCCCACACAAAAAGGCTGCATAACTGTATATAAGGCAACACAGGAGCCATCGGCTGCCCTGCGAATCATCTCAGACCTCTGAGTGATTAACAGGGTCGCCGCTCGGTCAGATGCAGTGTGATATAATTTTTCAAAGCTAAAAGACTTTTGTGAAGTGGCTGTTTTCGCAGGAGCTCACCTAGACATTCCTTCAAAGGTAAGACATTAAACTACAGGGGATTATGAGGCTCGGAGGAAATTGCACGTCTTAAAGCAAACTGCTGCTGGGAGAAGATGAAAAATACATATGTAAGAAGTAGGAGGAGAAAAATACCATCTTTCTGCTGAGTGATGTTAAAGGCATGAAAAAATGATCGG